ACTCTCTTACCAAAAGAGAAGCCTAAATGAAGACATGGACAAAGTGTAGCAGGTCCAGTCGTGTAGGACCTGGTCATGACCTTCATATTTGTACCTGTGTTTCAAGTTCCTGCATTAGGGAATCACTGTGTAATCATTTCTCCACAGATTGGGGAGCTCCACAGAATATCTTGGCTTGCAGTGTGGTTCCTAATTCTTCAGGTTTTCCTCTTCTCTATTTAGACATCCAGACAACCTCCCCTTGTAACCTCACTCAGCCTCATCCACCAGTACTGAGCACATCCCAGATAGAACTATGCAATAAAAGGGGTGATACCATGGGCACTGCTTGATATGACCGTGGGGACCCAACCCAGGGAAAATGGAGAGGTACAAAGAACTCAGAATTCTGAGTCAGAAAATCAAAGAGCATCCTACTTTCTGGATACAACACCCTGAAAAGTCCCCTGTGACAACTTCTCTAAACCTGGTGTCCTTATTTATAAACCAGACATGATGGTGACATCCCACAGACATCTAAAAGGCTAGGTCACAACCGATAAACAATGGCAGAGATCCGTGGCACAAACAGAACCTCAAGGACAAATTGCTTCTTGAGGCAGCTGCAAACAGAGTGGTGAGCCTCCTTTATTGGCATTCATAGTACTAACCAGATCAGGAATGTCAACAGAAAAAGAATAGTTCATCAGAGGCATAAGGAAGCTCTACTTAGATCACATAAAATGAGACTCAAAGAGGCGACAGTTGAGAATGGGAGATGGCCCAGCCAGTAAGGTGCCTGTTGTGCAAGTGTGAAGACCTAAGTTCAAATCCCCAGCACCCATATAAGAAAGCTGGGTATGGCAGCGCACATCTGTAATCTCGGCACCAGGGAGATAGAGATGGGGCCTCTCTGGGGCTCGCTGGCTTGACAACCTAGCCAAATTAGTGAGCTTTGGGTTCAATTAGAAACCCTGACTCAAAAGGTAAACTAGAGCGCAATCAAGGAAGACTCTCAACATAGACTTCTGGCCTTCATATCCACATGCACTCACATGAACAGATACACACCCACATGAAGTCTTGCATACACCATACACACATATATACACACAATAATATAATCAAAAGTGAGCGAAAAAGAGGCAACAGCAGACAAATGCTCATATCACAAACAGGCCCTAAGTCCCCAGCCAGTGTGCTGCCTAGCTATTGGTCTAATGTCATTATACACTGACTTTGTTTTATTTTCACCAGGGAATCTCACAGTGATTTGATAACCAAGTGATTTTTAAGGAGGAGAAGGGGTGGTTGGAGTGGAGAACAAGCCATTCTTTCTCACACCATTTCAGAGTTTTGTCAGAAGACCTGAGGGAGCAGCCCATGAGAAAGCAGTTTATGAATAGCCAGTGTTGCACTGCGGTAGCTTCAGTGAGCTTTGCTGGGCTCCAGTAAGGTCAGTTTTGCATGAGCCATGACCTCTGGACCGTCTGATTCAACCCAACCAGTGGAGTGAGCCCTGAATGTCAAGAGATGCGGGAAGGGCTCACAGAGTCTAGGAGAGCAGGACACAAAAAGAGCCTTGCTGGGTCCCTAGTCCCACTATCCATTTCCCCTTAATGAATTTAGCCACGGGCATACGTCAGTTTATCTCCAGTTCAGTGAGTCATTTATCTCTGGCTTTATTCCCGAAAATGACCCAAATGTCTGTGTGGCCTGCGACAAATTCATATATTGAGATATTTACTCGCAAATTATATTTAGAGGTAAGGCCTTTGGAAGGTGATCAGGTCATTGGGCAGAATCCTCATGAGAGAGATTGATGCTCTGGTTAAAAAAAAGAGACCTTCGCCCTTCATCTTACAGGTGCACACCCACAGGCTGGAGAGCAGAGCTCTGCAAACACAGCATCATCAATCTACAATCTTTGGCAGTCAGGGCCCTCCCGCCATGGCTCCAGGGATCAAACTTGGGTTGTCAGGCTTGCACAACATGTGCTTGTACCTGCAGAGACCTCTCACCAGCCCCACAAGGTCAAGCTCTACCCTGGGTTTCCCAGCTTCAGATCAATAAGACGTCAATCTCTGTCCATCGTAAGCTGTTCTAAATTTGGTGTTTTGGCACAGAAACCTAGAAGCACTTAAATAATCTGATTTGCCATTAAATAAAAAGCATAAAGTTTATCAGAAACCCTAGCAACAGTTAGTGCTGAACCCACCTTCCAAACCCTGCTACGACATCCCTTGTGACTAGGCAGTAGCCTCTCTGGCTACAGCATTCAAACTAGCAGGCCGTCCTCTGCAGTCCTCAGAAGTAATGAAGTCCACATGGGAACAGTTAATAGCCCCACGTGCCCCCCCTTGAGTGCTATGCCTGAAACCCAGGCCGTCTTGACTAGTACATATAATTGAACCTTATTTGACCACACAGTATTTGATCTATTTTTTAGTATGGATCAAGGCCCAGGACCAGAGTTTGAGCAAAAGTAGCTAGAATGTGACCCAGGTCTATTTTCCTCTCTTCCTGCTTTCCCTCTGTCCTCCCTTCCTTCCTCCTTACTGCGTTCCTTCCTTCCTTGATTTCTTCAACAGCTACTCCTTCACAATGAGGTTCCTGTTCCACCAAGCCTGTGCTAAGCTCATTGTCTATGGAAAATCAAAGGTATCATATCTGACACCAACCAGAACACAGACCTACCCCTGACAACCTCTGACACTTGCCAGTTATTGAACCTGTCTTTACATCTGGTCCATCACCTCTAAAATGGAGATGGAAAGGGGTATCTATTCAGTGGAATTCTGTAAGGCTTGTGTGGCATGCTCCATGGAAAAGCCCTAGCAATGTGCCTATGGTTAGCACCTTCGCAGTAAATGTCATGTCGTATATGGTGTTGACGGTAGTCTGTGGTACAGCTCTAGATGATCCTTGTCTCCGAATAGTCATGGGATCTTGTAGTTCTGGTCCTATGCTCTGGTCCTGGTGGTTTCTAACCAACAGGAACAGTAGAGGCAATGAGATGTCACCTCCATGATTAGGTTCTAAGACTGGTCTCCAGTATAGACATAGCCCTCCCAGCCCCACTTCCTCTCTCTTTCGGAGACAAGGTCTCAGTATATAGTCCTGGCTGTCCTGGAACTCACTTTGTAGACCAGACTGGCCTCAAACTCAAATATCCACCTGCCTCTGCTCCCGAGGGCTGGGATTAAAGGTGTGTGCCACCACACCTGGTCTCCACAGTGCTAGAATTAAAAGTGTGTGCCATCACACCTGACACCCCTTGTTCTTATTTTCACTCCCAGTTACACATATTTACACTCTCTCTCCTTGCATGCTTGCTTTAGTCAAAAGGGCCACATTGCAAAGAATCGAAGGCAACCCTTTGCCAACAGCCAGTGAGCAACTGAGGCCTTCAACTCAATGTCCCAAGAGAAACGCACTCCTACCAGCAAGCTTGGAAGTAGATCCGGCTCTGGCTGATTCTTGAGGCAGATTGTACCCCTAACTGACACCTTGATGCCAACCATGGAAATAAGACCCTGAAGCAGAAGACCTGCTAAGCCACACCCAGATCCCTGGCCCTCAGAAACAAGGAATTGGCATCTAATATGGAGGCAACCTGTTATGTAGCAAGAGATAACAAATAAACCATTGTTATCAAATTTTGTGCTGTAATTGGGGATGTATTAGGCATGAGTCTCTAGGGGAGCAGACCCAACAGAATGTGTACATGTTACAAAAGGGGATCTAGCGAGTTGGCTTACACAATCGGGTCTGGGTGGTCTGACAACAGCCATTTGCAGGCTGGAGAGGCTGAGGCCCAGCAGTCTGTAAAGCAGTATGCCTCAGCATTCCTAATCCACTGTCAACAGCCTGGAGACTTCTGGAGAGTCACTCATTGTGGTGGTTTGGATAAGAATGGTTCCTATAGGCTCATATATTTGAATGCTTGGTCACCAGGGAGTGGCATTGTTTGAAAGGATTAGAAGGATTAGGAGGTGTGGCCTTGTTGGAAGAAGTGTGCTACTGGGGATGGGTTTGAGGTTCCCAAAGCTCATGCCAAGCCCAAAGTGTCTCTGTCTCTCTGTCTTTGTCTCTGTCTCTCTCTGTCTCTGTGTGTGTCTCTCTCTGTGTCTCTCTCTGTGTCTGTCTGTGTGTGTCTCTCTCTGTCTCTGTGTGTGTGTCTCTCTCTCTGCTTACGGATCAGAGTGTAGCTCTCAGCTACTGCTCCAGTGTCTACTGCATGCTACCACGATCCCAGCCATGACGATAGTGGATGAAACCTCTGAAACTATAAGCAACCCTCCAATTAAGTGCTTTGCTTTATAAGAGCTGCCTTGGTCATAGTTCTCTTCACAGGAGTTGTACAGTGACTAAGACACTGTTCTTCAATCCACAACAGAGGGCGGGAGAAGTCAGAGTGTGACGGCAGCACAGGCTAGCAGCAGGAGCAAGGACAGGCATGTCCAGCAGCGAGAAACAAGGTAAGCAGGCAGGCACCACTTCCTCCTAGGACCCCTTTGTACCTGGGTCACCTGCTGGGCTGGGCGTGCTATCCACTCTGAGGAAGGGTCCTCTTCTCAGCTAACCCTTCATAGACACACCCTCACAAATGTGCCTAGAGCTGTGTCTCTTGACTGGTTCCAGATTCCCATCAACATGACATCAAGACTAGCCACCACATGTGACAAAGAACAAGCATGTACAAAAAAGTCAACAAAATGAGTGTGTTGACAGCCACATCAAGAGGACCTGAGAATGGCACTCTGAATCCTTGACACTCCACAGAGGGACATCATGAAGTCATGCAGTGTGGATGGAGCCTTAAAGACGACACGTGATTCTTTAAGTCCATGTATCATCTAAGATATGAAATTGGAAAACTTCCCAGACAGCTAAGACCTCTTCATTTTTGTTGCTTCGGCTATTAGGCAAATCACTTTGGGATTTATTTCACCAAATCTAATGGCAAGGAAAGACACGAAAGTGAAGTCACTGAAATAAACAACCTCATTAAGCTCAGAATCAATTAAATGTGTATTAATCTTTTTAAGGACACAAATAGTACATTAATAAAAGTGAAATGAGTTTGGGGGATTATACACACACACAAAAGCAAGACGCTTGAAACACTTGGCATGGCATTATAATATCCTGAACCGGTAGGTAAGTATCTCTTTTTAAATCTTGTGTTAAGACTACTAAATGGTCTTTCCTTGGACAAGTCCCATATATCAGATTGAAAGTGACCCAGTTTTTACATATGAGCTATGATATCCTTCTATCTAGGCTTTGTCATTACAAGGTGACAGAGATAAGAATGTGATCTATAAACCAAGCTTTAAAAAAGCAACCTCTGAGTTGACTGAAGAAGGACTCAGCTTCAGGGAGAATCTGGTATGAAGAAAGACAGCCAAATCCACGGGCCAAGTCTTAAGCTCTCAGTACCAGAAGAGTCTGTTGCCATCAACTTCCAGAACTTTGTAATATATTTCTTTGACTGGTATATAGAGTGCCTCGTAGGCACTGTGTTGGATTCTAGTCACCCTCTTACCTGCTAGCATTAAAAATCTATTGAACTTGTTTAAGGCGAGAGTGGGCCTCATGTAGGAAGAGAGTTTCCATTAGGTGACCAAAATGCTTCTCTGAACTAATCACTTATCTGCTGTCTTAGTTACTTTTCTCACTGCCGTGACAAAATACCCAACAAAAGCAACCTAAGGGAGAAAAAGTGGATTTGGGCTCACGATTCCAGTGGGTACAATCCATCAGGGTGGGGAGATATGGTGGATATGAGGCAGCTGGTCACATCACAGGCGGAAGCGGAGAGCCATGAATGCTTGTTTGCAGTTGCTCTCTCCTCTTTATCCAGCTCATGACCCCAGCCCATGGCATGCTGGTACCCACTGAGGGTGGTTCCATCCATCTCAGTTAACCTAATCTAGAAGAAAACCCAGGCATGAAAAAAGAAAACTGTCATTTGGAGGACATATGAAATGTGTCCTGTCACCAACATTCAACACCATGGCAATCCCACAGTGTCCTCCTTGTGAAGGACACATTTGGAGAAAGTGGAGCCAAGATTGAAAAGGCAGCCACCACTTACCTCTTGGTTCCACAGATAGCCTGTGGGTCAGAGAAGGTCTGAGAACTACATGAGGTTGCACTGGACATCCTGTTGGCACCGATGATGTCTCCTTGGCTTATAACTAAGCTTGAGCTGGAAGATCTCTCTAGATGTTGTCACAATGTGACCTGCACAGCTCTGATTCCTCCCAAACATCCCAGAACAGTGAGATGCCTCTGGTCCAACTTTTGCTTCGATTCCTCAGGGGAAAAAAAGCCAGTGATAACAAACATTTGACAAGCTTTTCAGCACCAGATCTAGAGCTGAAACCCAGGTCACTCAGACCTCATTAGGCTCTCCAATCCTAAATGATCTATGAGGCAGTCCCCAGGCTGCAGTATTACTCCTAGTGCTGTGACTGAACTCAACAGACCCACTGAGCTAAAGCCATTCACTCCAAACATTCACCTTGGCCAGACAGGACCCAGTCTAAGTGAGGCTCATGTTTAAAAAAGAGATTCCATCAGGAAAATATGGACTAGGAAGTACCAGCAACAACTACCAACAGACAGAGCCCGTCCTTTGCCCCAGATAATTCCTTCCAAGAGCTGAAGACCCATGCTCCAATTCACACCTTCCTGCGTTGGGGTAGTTTTCAGAGCCACAATTCCATTCTAATCTTTGCAGATTCCTCCATGGGAAGTGGTTGGAGCGGAGAGCAATATTAGCTGATGATCTGGAATTAGACTGACTCCTAGGGTGTCGAATGCACTTTATTAAACCAGAGATAATGAATTCCACAGAGAGCTCAAGAAGGGAAGGAAAAAATAAGCCCAGTGTCAAAATATACCTCATTTCACGAGAGACAAAAAGAAAGTTCACCTTTGAAAGGGTGTGGTTCCCCTTGTGAAGAGGACTCCAGAAGCTGCCTGACTGGGAGCAGTTGCTTCCAACCATCTCCTGCACGCAGAGTTTTGTCTTTTCAAATGCCTTTTGACTTTTGAGACCCACCTATCCTTGTCGCCTTGGTCATCAATAATCTGCATGGAAAGGTGAATAAAGATTGGTTACTGAGGAATTGTCCATTGCACAGTAGGAGCTATGCATCACCCATAATATGGACTGTCCCCTGCTTAGAAGTTAATGAAGAGGGATAGTGCTCAGTGACTTCACGCCTTATCTAAAATTCAGCAGTCGTGGCTCCAAGACAGCTGAAAGTTCTTTGGCACTTGTCCTCTGAGAAAGTGAGACTAATTCCCCTCCTGTTCAAAGCAGGTCGTGCTCTGGGCTCCACTTGAAGCAAGAGAAACAGGCAGATGTGAGGCTCTGTGACTTTTGAGAGCTGCTCATAAGAAGGATGGTTCCCACCAGGCATGTCCACACATACCCTTAATCCCAGCACTCTGAGGCAGACACAGGTGCCTCTCTGTGAGCTAGAGGCCAGCCTAGTCTACATAGCAAGTTCCGGGCCAGCCAGGGTTACATAGTAAAACCATGCCCCTGTTAAGTTCTGACTGTCTTGCCTTACTAACTCAGAGAAAAGCCAGCTGCCCTGTCATGATGGCACACACTCAAACAACTCATGCTATCCATGACCTCTACAGAGAGGAGGCAGGCTCCCTCCAACAGCCAGCACCACCGAATTACCAGCCCCATGAAGGAAACTTCACTCCTGGTCCAGCTTCCCATGACCTAGGAGCTACCCAGCTTGATCACTTCTCAGCTCTTGACCCCTGGGAATCATACAAGAGGGTGTTTACTGTGTCAGGACACAATTTAAGACCACTTGCACCAAGGTAGTAGATGGTTTAAAAACATAAGCCTGATTCATTCTCTTCTGAAGATGATGACTACATCTAAGATGAGAAGGCTGGAAGATACTGGACACAGAACAGACAAGATGAAGGAATGGGAGAAAGAGACAGAGAAATGTAGCAAGCAGACCTCTCCTCCCACTCCGGATATTTCTCCTGTTTCTCTGGATTTCTCCACTCATTTATCAATACATTCTTATTCCCATGGTCGCTAGCTTTATCTCATCACTTGGATGGGAGGCTTTTTTTAAAGATTTATTGTGGTTGCACAATCATGATACATGGGACTGGGATGAGGTAGATTCATTTTATTGGGGAGAAATCACTTACATGAGAAACCGATAACCCAGGGTCAGCACTCTGAGCATCCAGTCTCAGCTGCCCTCTGGAACCCCGAGAGAGTAAGCCTATCCTCACCTCAGGCCTAAATCCCACACGCCCCCATAGGTACCTGTGGCCACACCCAAATGGGCATAGTCAGAGCCACAGGCACCTAGTAAGATCTCTCACTACAATTTTTTTTATTTTTAATTACATGTATGTATATATCTGTATCTGAGAGTGTGTGTGTACATGCACAGACACACATATAAGTGCAGTAGCTCACAGAGGCAGGGAAGTAGCTGGCAGGCAGGAAGCCACAGTATTCTTAGAGATAGACTAGTCTTTACCTTTTAGTGGTCCTCAGTAGACCACGGTGTCAGGGTATTCACATCTTCACCCCTACTACACTGTCTCTAAACTTGATCATGTGACTACATCTGTCTACTAAGACATTACCAAGCCTGATGCAAATGGTACTCAACACACAATCACATATTCACTCTTCAGAATTCAGCTGCCATGGTTTGAGTTGGTTTTGTTTTGTATGTATTGTGTGTGTGTGTGTATTTATGTGCACATCTGTATATGTGCAGCTGCACATATGTATGCATGTATGTATGTATGTAAAGGCCTGAGGACAACCTCAGCTGTCATTCCTTTAGGACCATCCACCTTGTTCTTTGAGACAGAGTCTGCTGAGAAGTCAAGGGTTGCTGCTTAGTGAACCCCAGGGGTCCTGTCTCCAGTTCTCCCAGCATTGAGATTACAGAAGCACACAGCCATGCCTAATCCAGGTCCGCTTGGCTGCAAAGCAAGCACTTCACCAACTAAGCCACCTCGCCAGCTTCAGCTGTCACGTTCTGAGGATGTCCAACAGGAAACACCAACTTCCCCCTAGCGAATAAAGGCATTTTGGACCCAGTAGCCATCCTAGGACTCTGGCTGACTCCAGTGACACCTAATGGGTCAAACTATGGACCCTTAAGAGATAATTTATTGTGACTGTCTATAAAATTACCATATCAAATTGCATTCCAAAGGCCATGCAATTTGCTCAACTGTGGCTTTAAAGGGCCCACAGTTGGAGTGAGCTAATTTTAAACCAATGTCTTCCTATTACTGCCTGCCAAATCACGAGGGTTAGTGCACAGGAGGTAGTATCGCAGACTCCTAGGGGTCCCGGCAGATGCTCTGAATGGCACAGACATCAAGGCTGGCTTTTTTCTCATCCTGATTCTGCCTCTGACCTCATTCTGCCTTGTGTTCCCTCTGTCCCTCTGTATCTCTTCCTAAGACTCTCACCTGCCTGTTGTCACTCAAGGCAACAGACCTGGAACCCTGGCATAACCCATCTTCTTTCCCAGGATAGAAGTCTGGACACAAGGCACACCACACAGCTGTGTAAAAATTACTCATTGATCCTTGGTTTCTCTCTCTCTCTGCAGATTGGAAATCAGTGTGTCTCAAGGTAATGCTGAGAAGACCAGCTTAGAGAGACACAAAGCCCCAGTCAGGACTGAGCCTAGCCTTACTGGAAAAATAAGTTCTCTTGTTTTCCTTCTCCCTATTTAACCAATTTCTCTTGTCAACTTGACTAGATCTAGGATGAACTAATAGGCAAACCCAGTGGGAACACCTGTGAGGATTTATTTTGTTCAGTTTAACTGAAGTATGAAGACCCAACCTAGACGTGATTGGCATCTTCCAGTGGCAGCCCAGATAGAAGGAAATAGATAGAGATGCAAATGCTTTCTGCTTGCTTACTTTCATGTCTCACCAGCAAGTTCATCTGCTCTGCTGCGGCGGCTGCTGTTATTGATGATGGTGGTGGTGGTGATGATTGTGGTAATGACACTAACAACAATAAGAATAATGTCATTCTTCTCTGCCATGAAACCCATCTTTTTTACTTTCCAAGCTAGACAAAGACCAATGACCTTCAACACTAAACTACTGAGGCATCCAACTTCACAGACTGCACAACTAACAGCTTCTCAACTGCTCCAGTGAGCAAGCAGTCATTGTTGAACTACCTAGACCAATCTAATTCCTCTTAATATACCACGCTATTAGTTGTGTTTCTCTAGAGAACCTTGAACACACAGCTCTTTTGTAGTATTATCTTTGTGTTCCAGTCTCTACCAATAGTGACTCCCTAGGTCAGTTCCTCTGCACCTCACTAGAACCAGGGGCAAGAAAGCTGTAGCTCTCCATGAAGCAACACAGGAATTTCTCATTGAGTTTAAGATGGCAAAACCATTCTGGACCCTATCCCTATCTCAAGGAAAATTAAGTGTGACTGTTTTTATGACACCCCCCCCAGGATACCAGTAAGTAGAAGTCTTCATTCATTCAAAAAGTAGAAGACATTTTATGCCCAAAAATAATGGCAACAATAGGAAAAGAGGAGAAATGCAGTAAGAAACACACTCACGATGATCTATATTATGAATTTATATGTATACTCATATCTCAGCAGGCCCTGCAGAGTTACAGATGAGCTCATTAAAATGCTTGTGTTTTTAGCAATGATGTTTATTGAAACCATTTCATAACTATCCAAATTGGGGTTTGTTTTCAGCTATGATGTTATGCTACCTGGAATATTCTGACCTAAATTATTTATGGACCTAAGAATAGATTTCCTCCTCCCGTCACTGACTTCATAGATAGATCTCGGGATATGGAAAGTTTTGGTGAGCTCTTACAGTGCTGACGAGGCTCTCGTGCATTTCCTGTACTTGTTAGGAGTGGTAGAGGCCTGTGGAGGGCCAAGAGTAGGAGCTGACTTATCCCCTCTAGTGAGCTACTGCTTCATATGGAACCCACAACATGGACGATTCTCAGTAAGTTCTGTGAAATGAGTGGCAGCTGGTGTTGCTGATGGTGCTTCCCATGGCAACCCCCAGAAAAATCATAAGCCTCCAGCCTCTAAAGAGGATAAGGCTGGAGCTCAAAAAGGTTTCCAAACTGACCCAGGCCAGCTAATTAGAGACCTGGGATGTTCTCACTTGAGTTCTCTGCTTCCCAGCCCAGGTGTTTCTGCGTGGCATCCTACAGGAGCAAACATATATACGTCTGGAAAATGCAGAAAGTCAGCAGCCCCTGAAACCACTACAGCAAAGGTGGAGAAGCAGCAGAATCCTTGAAGCCAGCTCACAAAGACAAAGAAGAAGTCATTATCCTGATTCTCCATCCATACAAAGAACTCCCCAAGCAGTACACTGCATCAAAGCTGGAGAAAACAAGGTATTTCAAACTAAAAGATATTCAGTACCAAATGCTAACACTCACCAAACGGGGGAGGGCTGGAGAGACAGGAGATATAAGCAAGCTGTAAGGCCACTGAATTCAGAAATACACCAAGGAGGTGTGGTCCAGGTGTCACACTGCTCCTGCTACAGCAATCTTGCCTATGAAGTCCAGCTGCCACGGGAGGCTTCTAAGTGCATTTTTATGGCTTTGCTGGTCATGACCACTCAAACAAAGCTAAGCAGCAGGAAACTAGACTTAGGATCTCTTTCAAGCCTAGCCTTGCTTGATTGCACCTAACTAACAGAACCAACTTCTCAACACCTTGCCTGAAAGAGAGTCCTGGGATGATGATGTATATCCATTTTCCAACCTCCATCCTTAGAAGGAGGGTGGAGTGTCAGCTCCCAGGACTGATGGTATCTACCATAGTCCACATCCTGTCAGCTCCCAAGACCACCTGACCGTATCCACCACAGTTCACAACCTTACATCCTAGCTTGCCTTTCACAGAAATTTTAACAGCCAACCAACAGCAACATACTGGATATGATGCACTGTGACCTGTGCGGACAAATTTGTTTTCCCCTTCCTCAAAACAAGATAGCCAGTGTCCCATAAGCCACTGAGAAATTGTCATTCACTTTCTA